TTCTGGGAAAGCGTGTGACAGACAGATTGATCCGTCAGCCCTGTCAAGCTAAGAAAAACTCTATCAGAGGCAGCAACCTCTGCATATAAACGCAACCCTGTTGGACACTGCTACATGAAGTCAACAGATCACGTTCTTCCCACTAGAATCAATACCTGATGATGTGCTGGTATCATAAACTAAGTATTTCCTAAATGGAGTGCTCAGTGGCAGGACAGATACAGAGCCAGGAACTAAAGACAAGGGAAAGCACTAGATATGCCAAAGATCCTTGGACATCAGTGTTGCTGCCTAGCAGGAACTTATTTTTCCATGACAACAAAACTGTGCCTAAGGCACATAATTCAGACAAAAGCTTCCGAAATGGGCTCTCGTCTGCAGGTCCCCAGCAGCCTTGCTCGCACCTCAGACCCAAGTCCGTCTCAAAGTCTCAAAGCTTTTGGGTGACTGGTCCTGTCATATCTAGCACGTCGGCTTTATACTTTTGCAATCCTGCATTAAGTGAAGAGAGTTTCTCATCAAGAAAGAATTAGAATTAGAAGATCCAGTTTCTTCACTGCAGGAAGCAGCTCTTTGTGTGATAAAGGTAGGGCAATTTAAGAGAAAAAACATCTTGTACATTGTAAGTGGGGTAATGAGCTATTCTTTTGCCCTGCGTTGAGTGTCAGTGTGTCCCACACCACAGAAGAGGTTTGAACTTTCCTCCACTTTGAGGAAAAAATGAAGCTACACGAAAGTCAGAATCTGCAGTTAATCTGACTGAGTAAGGTACGGAAAGGAACAGCCCAGCTGGGATGTCTCATCTGGAAGCACGCCACTGTGTTCCTGGGACTGCTGTTATGTCTCTAGCTGATCTGGACATGCCAAGGAGCTAATTTAGAGGTTGACTCATTCAGTAGGAAGAACCTGAGTCTTTCATTTAATGGGGAAATGCAGAACTGTAAGCTTCCAGTGGAGGAAGCTCTAATGAAAAGTCTCCAACAGATACCACACACAATTAGGACTCGTCTGAAACGTGTAATTGGCTGAGGGCAGACAGGTCCTAATTGCTGGGGGTCACTGTGTCGTGTTTGCAGGCAGATTCTCTCATCAGAGGGTCCAGAGCACAGCTAAGGAATAATGTCCGTTACAAAAAGAAACAAGGCCTTGGGCAAATTAGTTACTATAATGCCGGGGACAGACGTGAATCCTAATCAGCAAGATCGAGGGAATTCTGATAAACGACCTGACTCCATAGCAGTGCCAATAAAACAATCTGCAACTTAAGCTGCTGTTTTTAATCACCTAAATGACACTTAGTGGTGTCAGGCTGAACAAGCCTGGCAGTTGACTTGAGCTTTTCAAGACTATTACTGCTTTCGCACATCATCTTAACAAGACCCAGGGGCCTGCTGTTTTCTCCCACTATGTGTTTATGCTCCTTGCTGGCTGCAACCTGACATTTAGGTAATGGTGGCGTGGAGCAGATTACCGATGTAGGCCGATTCCAGTTAGGATGTTTTTGCAAAGAAGTATGATATCCGACTAATCTTAAACAGCTAGTCAAAGTACCTGCAAAAGGAACAAAGGGGCATTTGACATCTCACTGAATTGTTGCGTAACCAGTAATAATTGATTTCTGCCATGCACAACCTTGTCATTAACGCAAGAATCACAGCAGTGCGACACTCCTGTTAAACCCTATTGTCGGTGCTTTTTTCTACTGAAATATCCACATAATACACAGTTCTATCAAAAAGGAGAAAAACGTGCTGTGTTATAAAAATCGAGCTGTTTAAGACATGTGGTCTGGTTTTCAACAATGGAAGAGAAACACTAGAAAACACCTCAATCTCTGTTTAATGCGACTCAAATTTAAAGGGGAACTGCAGTCCCAATTTCAGTAAATAAATCTCGGTAACAAAATAAATTAATTGACATGATCGGAAGAAAAATACAAATTCTAAATTAAGCACAAAATTGTGAACTTCAGTGTTTTAAGACATTTCTCAAAGCAACATCTGCGCAAAGCAAAGGGCTTGACCTCTGTTCCACAGCACTGTGTTTCAGAACATGGAGCAATGTACAATATGTGAGCAGACCGCCTCAGCAGAGAGGCAGTGAAGTACGTCTCTGTAGTTCCTCCTTGTGCCAAAAAGGTGCAGAAGTAACTTGTTTGGTACGTTACTTAAAGTTTTCCTGGGACATAACTGATGTTGATTATTAGTTAAATATCTGACGAGATCTGATACCATTTTGTATTACATCCAACTGCATAAAGGTTAGAAGAATGCCGGTAATGTAAAACTTTGAAGACCAAAGCCTTGCTAGATCTGAATGGTTCATTCTCCACAAAGCTGTCAGGTGGACATCCAAACAGGGGCTGTGACAATACTGCACCGCAAGCAGGGACTGTCCAGCCAATCCACGCTGGAGTCCCGCTGCGGCGACGGAGCGGGCTGCCTTTCTGTGAAAGCAAGCTGCTGTCAGAATGCTTGTTGTCCTTTCGGTAGGGGGGTTTTATGAATAACAACCATCTGTTTGCAGCACGGAGGTTTCCAATACTCCATCGGCCGAGATCAATATCGTTGTCGGGCCACACACAAGCATGAGCGGAGCTTGCTCACAGAATAAACCATGCATCACTTGAGGAGTAGTCCAGCCCATTCACCTCCAACTGTCAGCAGCGAAACTGCCTTTTAATACCTAGATGACTACGGACATTAAGATGGGGAGGTGTGGTTGCTCTTCCCTTAACAACAAGAGTTGTTAGCGATAACATGTATATAAAAAATACCTTTCATGGAAGTAATAAAAGCTAATCTCGGAATCTTACTTTGGCCAGAATAATTCCAGAGAAATTCCAAACAGTCTTTCCCCATGCAGCATGCTGTTCTCCCATTCCTTGGACAGACAAAGCCAGTCTGCTGCGATTCCCACTGAAATCCATTGGCAGGGATTTTGGTCAGTGCACAGACTTTGTCAGTGCTTCTATCTCGTATGGAGATGAGTTACTAGCCGTGTGACATTCTTTTCTGCCAACTGGAAAATGCCGTGTAGCACATAACATTTGCAGTCTCCAACAGCATAGCTAGACATTTAAAATATGGGGCTGTTCCAAGCCTGTTTCCCAGCAGTACCGGTTGTAGAGGGAAGGGAAATTGCATTCACTGAGTGGCAACAATAATAGCCAAGAAGAATTAAACGTTATTTCAACGGGAATATTCTTACAGAGAATGGACTGCCTCGGTTCTTATGTAGCACAGGACTATTACTGAGAGAACAACTTGGGATTTCATAAGGCTTCACTAAGCACCACTCAGACGGACAGCGAATACACGAGTGTCAATCACCTCCACTGCACAGCCTGCCCATTTCAGATTATCAGCAGCCCAGGTTAGTAGCTTAATTCCATCGCCTTTCATCTTTGAATGGCCAGATGAGGATCAGACTTGCTTTGTCAGGGAAATGAGCACCGCAGCTCCCACCAACACCCACTGGCAATTTACTGTTCATCACGAAACTACAGTGCAGTTCACTAGTGTTGACTGGAAGAGGCCTGAGACTGAGCAAGAGAGAAGAGTGTAGGGCGGAACGTGTATCCGCATTCAGCTTGATCCACAAAAGGTGAAAGTTTCTCACCTTCCCTGGAATTCTTCATACAAGTTACAATATTTCATATTTATTATTTTGGTTCATACGATAAACCTTTACTTGGATTCTTTTCAGATCCCCCAGGTTCTTAAAATACTCACTAAAAACATTTCTAATCGCAAAGAATGCTCCAAGCCTCGTGATCACAGTATTCACCCTACTGTTCACCTCAAACTACGACAACGTTTCTTGACAGAAATGAAAGACCTTGAAAAATCCAAATTGGCAAAAGAAATTTGCGAATGCAGTTTGATTTTCAAAACCCCGCAAAGCAGTTGGTATTAAAGCAATTGTTTAACTATTTTATAGTATTTCTCCCATTGTAAAGACGGTAAAACTATTCAGCAATCCTTAGTTGCTGAGAAGATAGCTAAAGTATTCTCTTCATGGAAAATTTCTAGTGATGCTGACCATATGTCTGAAATTAGGTATGTGAAAAGAGGAAAAACGAATAGATAAAGTGAGAAAACATCTCCCTTATGTTACGGATTCAAATCATTCACCTGCAAAACCCCATATGTTCGTACAAGTGACCAGCACAGGTGAGTCACATTTTACACAGAGTATAGAGAGTATAGTGCTGTATTTGAAACAGTGGAAGACAGCAAATCACAGCCTCTGCCTTCTTAGGGGACTGTGAACTGTCACACTGCCTGGCACACTGAGAAAGCACACTGCTGGGATCACAGGCAGGTAACTCAGCTGCTACAAACCTGACAGGAAAGACTTGTCTTCTTTTATTAAGGGATCAAGGTGCATTCCTCTGTCTGTCTGCACAGCTGAAGAGAATGGGGAAAAAAGCATCACCAGCACCAGCTGCTCACAAGAGTTTTGCCCTGTCTCAGGCAACAGGCAAAGAGTGACAGCTGAAATGCTACAGCATTTAGTAATTGGGCGAGTACCAGTTTCCACTTAAAAAAATCCAGGACCATCTTACGCCACTACACGGCCAACTCCATCAGGTCTAAAACTACCTTCTCCCAGGCGCCTGGGCTGTGTGGGTCTGACCTCGCTCCAGAGAGCTGCACTCTTCCTGCACAGCTCCCTGCCCTCCGTGTCAGGTGCACGGTTACTCAGCCAGACAATGACAGATTCCCGCGACTGAGAAAGCGATCGGACACTTAAGAGCTCTGAACCCTCCCCATGCACCCCCGATCCCTCCCACCCACCCTGCCTGCATGACCACAGCAGACTGTCTGCTTCCCAAAAGCACGCTGCACGAGCGTGAGGTGAGTAAACAGCAGGGGAGCGGTCATCCCCTCTCTGACTGCTGAACTCTTCCAGCCCGCTGCGCTGCCACCGGTCAGGCACTGCTTTCCCGGGGGTGCCTGCTGCCATGCTGCTTTGATCCACTGAGACAATGACAGGAGACAGAGAGAGAGGCAGAGACCATGTTATACTCACATCTCGGGCTGCGATGTTCACTCTTGAACAGGGTCATAGCAGGGATGGAAGCACTAGAGACAGCTGGAGACACCTCGAGCTAGAGACAGGAGGCAACTGGAGTCTCACTCCTGCTTTCTCTCTCTCTCTCCTTTCTCTTCCGCTATCACACACACACACACGGAGAGCAACTACCCCAGAGAGCACACTGCTCTATTACTACTGAATCAATGACAGTGCTCTGAAGACTGTACCAGCAGGGCGTACCATCTCTCAGCTGCAGAGGGGGGGTACAGGGCCCTCCCATTGTACGAAATGCAAGCAGGGAGGGAGCCACCGAAGCAAGAGAGGGGGGTGAGGAAGGGGAACCGTGCTGCTGGATTTGCTTTAGAACCGAGTGTCTTGCCGAGTCTCGCAGCCGAAGGAATCCAGCCCTGAGCGTCACAGAAATCCAATCCAGTCTGTGCTGAGGGCTCTCCCAGCCAGAACAGGAAGAGAAGCATCTCGAGAGAAAACTGCAGGCCAGGCAGAGGCAGAGCAGCTCAGTGATGGGATCTGAGGACCTGGATTTCACTGAAAGCCAGCAGGGGCCTGCAGAAGGACTGGGCACTACTGGGGATGGTTTGAAACTGGCAACCTGTTTGCTTAGAAAGCAGTGCAACAATGCTCTAATAAGTCAGAGGAGCAATTCATTGCAAATTTAAAGAAATCTATAAGCAATGAGAAGAAACAGGGAGGAGCATTTTAACAGCCTTCACTCGCTCTTAGTAAACAAAGGAGCCCCTCTAAAATAAAAACTGTTTTTTTTCGTATTGCAAAATTCCTAACCTTGCATGAAAATAGTAAAAGTAAGGAGGTAGAGTATGAAATTAATCTGCCTCCTAATTGACTGCAAAATTAATTTCCCCGACATGACGCATTGTTGAGTCACACTGATGAAAATGGGTTAAAGGTTCATAGTTTTCCCTACTTGAATTTCTCACTACTCCCTCAAAAACAAACTTTTTCGAAGCGTTGAGGACTCAAGAAATCGGAGTAAACAACAGGGACGCTGCCCCAGCCCACAGCGAGTCACGTGACACTGGGTGACCAGTCATTTGAAGTCATTTTAGAAGAAAAGCTTTTCTTCTGTTAAAGCATTGCACGATACAGTTTTCAGTATCTTGTGAATTTAATAACTTTGTAGCACATTAGCGAACAAACATACAAAATAAATCCAAATTCTTAGTAAAATAACACTGCATCCTACAGCACTGCATTCCAAAAAACTAGAAAAACAGTCTGCTCATCGAAAAATATGCTGTATAGGTGTTAAACGCAGACTGTTTTTTATTGTCAAAAAGCGTATTTCATTTCCCGCTGAACACCCAAGATATGATACTGTGGGGAAAAACTACTTTGTGTCATATTTTAGCAGAACTTACATTATTTTCGACTCGAACATTTAACGGATAAGCAGGGGAAAATGTAAAAACAAAACTGCGGTATTCAAATGTGATCTTTCGACTTCCATTAGCAGAGACTCGAACACGCTGGACGAGGAGTGGGACAGCCGTCCACGACCCAGAGCACAGGCGTCCCACGCCGCCGGCAGTGCGGCCGAGCTCAGCGTACTGAGACAATACCCCCTCTTGCAGCTTTTAAAATATTTCTCCTTGCCCTGCTCCCATTAGCACAATGGATTGTTCTTCAGGAATGCCAATCAAAGTCTACTGTGGAAAAAGACGCACACGTAACGCGGAAATCCACATCATGAAGTTAACAAGTCGTACAATCTTAAAGAGTTTCCTTACGTTTTACAGTGTCCTGTAATTCCGGGGATCCTACACTCGTGGAAAGCGGACCATGCCGGCGTGGAGCAGTACCTGGGGTTTCAAACGCGCTGCGCGAGTGCGGCTGCGTGCAGAGGGCTCCTCTCGGCAGCCGTGGGTGATACGCGCGAGTGGTCCGTGAAAGATTTTACGTGAAAATTAATTTTCATACGAGTGCCCGTACATTTTGGTTGGGACAGGTTATTTACCGCGTTGGTGGCCTTGGGGAGCGGGGAATGCAGATTATGGACAAGTTTGTGGCGGATCAGATGGTTCAGACGAGAGCCGTGCGCGTCTTTACGCCATAGCTGCCTACAAATACGCTTTATGTCCTTTTCGCCATCTTTTTCAATTAGGTGGATTCCGAGCCCCCGGGAGGCCACATTAATAACGGTTAGCAGAGGAGATGTTAGGTGGCATTCTGCTTTGTTTCGGCGAAGCTCTTGGAAAGTGAGTAACGTGGCTGTAAAATCAAAGAAAATCAATTAAGAAAGTATTATTAATAAACCCCATCTCATCTTCTGAAAGAGCCATGATAGTCGCTGTAATTACCCTGACTGTTTGAAGCGACACTCTAAAAATAGACCGCGGAGACAAACACCGCTAATCACTAATCACCTGGCGGCGCCGCGACAGGACTGCTAAAACACGAATTAAGCCGGTTTGTTAGTTCACAGGTGAGCAACCAAAAACAAACGAAAATTAGAGCTATTGAAAACCCTTGCACACAAAACCAGCAGGAAGAACACGGCCTCGTTTTCCTTCTTAATTAAAAATAAACAGATCCCCTCGATCCCGTCTCTCCGCCGCGGCGCACAATTAAAAGTTTTCGCCAATTCGACACAGGGCCGACACGGGATTTCAAAAGAAGACGAAAATCAAAACGTTTAGTTCAACCCGCAAAGGAGGGAGAAATCGAAACAGAACGACTCGCATTTTCTTTGTAGCAAAACGTGTTCACTCTCTCTGTCTCCAAATAAGGCACAGCTAAAATGTCAGAACCAGGCACAGGTGAAGGTAAAGCAATCTAAAACTCCTGTGACTGACCTATGCAAGTGTTCAGGTGACCCCTTTATCTTTTGACATCATTGTAAACAGCAGTCAACAATCCCAAGTGATCTTCCACCAAGAATTCTTAAACAACACAGTGCAGCATTAAGAGCAGCTGGCGTCTGAAACCTGAATTCTTTATTGAAGGTGCTCCAATCATCCAAATCAATCCAAGCCCCATGTTAATGGATTCAGTGGCTCGCCATTTTGCAGCGCAGTGTTGCAGTGCTCAGCATTGCTGCCTTGTAGCATTGGGGCCCTGGGTTTGATTCCAGACCGAGGGTGCTGACTGTGTGGAGTTTGAATGTTTTCCCTGCGTTTTTATAGGTTTCCTGCCACGTTCCAAAGAGATACAGTAGTGGTAGGTTTATTGGCTTCTGGGACAACTGGCCCTGGTGTGAGTGTGTCTGCCCTGTGGTGGACTGGCATCCCATCCAGTCTGTAGCTTGTAGTAGTTCAGGTGGGGAGCTGCATCAGCATGCGTAGGCTGCAAAGGAAAAAGCAATAGGTTTATTCCACGCTGAAAAAAAGAAGAAAGAGAACACAACGTTTCGGCCGTGGAGCCTTCTTCAGGTGTGAGAGAGACAGGGCAGTAGTATAATAAGCAGTATTATAGCGTTATCTATAGTAAATGCAATTTGTTATTGTTATAACTTCCAGATCATCAGAGGAATAACATGTACTGTTTCTTAATCCTGAAGTTAATCACACTAATCGAGCCTAACTCTCGTCCTGCCTCAGCTCTTACAATAAACCCAGTCGATCCCCAACCTCACACGCACTCTGAGGCAGAACTCCAGACGGCGCCTAAGATATTCAGGTGCCGCTGGTGCACTGCTGGGGATGAATCTGTGGCCGTTACTTATTTCAGCGAGTTATCTCCGGGGGAAATCTATCCGGGGAAACCGAACGGAGTTCTTGGGAAGGCCAGTCGAAGAGCGAGGGCGGGGAGCGGAGCGGAGCAGGGAGGGGACGCTGGGTGCAAACGGAATATCACCCTCCTGCTCAGGAGACATCCATCCTCATCAGCAGGGAAATCAGTTCCAATGGCAGGGGCTGTCAGCAGCCAGCCAGCCAGCCCGTCTCCCTGCTGACGGCCCCAGCTTCATGCCAGCAGAGCCGCAGACACACCGGCACATGTCCACAGAGGTATTACTCCAGCCTGACATATTAATCTTCACTTTAACTGCACTGCTGCACATCACAATTGCACATGCTTCGCCGGAAACTCAAAGCTCATACATTATCATAGCCACTTTCTTTCTTTTTTTGGCATACACATTGTGTGAAGGGGTCCAGTTATCTCCAAACGCAGCATCCAAATTCAGCTGCACATTGAAGCTTTAGATGCTGGGCTCAGGCTGCTATTGCCATATGTGGTATCAACTCTGACACAAGTGAATTCAGACTGAGGAGAAGCTGGCTGACAGAGGCCGATACCTTTCCAGAACCAGAGTGTTAGCTAACCAGCAGGCAGTGGAGTCCAGGATCAGATCAAACAAGAATTGTGGGGACTGATACACCGGTCATACCTTTTTATCTGAGTGACCATTTCCACTAGAAGTTGTTGCTGCTTATCTTTCGTTTGCCATAAATTGTAATACCTTGAGTACTCTCTGCTGTGTGCAGGGAGATGCAATTTAATATTGAATATTTAATATTCAATATAGCAAAGAGATAACTCAGTTTTGTGTACAATTCACTATTTATTCATTATAGTGATGCCTCCTTAAGTTTCAGAACTCTCCTATTCCTATGCCTCTGCTCAATGCCAGCGTATCTGCTCTTTGTTTTTATAATAACCTCATCAGAGTCCCTGAAATCTGGTCTCATTGTCTTAAAATTCCCTTCTTAAGGGCGGCTGCTATCCCTCCTGTGTGAGGAATACAAAGTCTAGACCCCCAAGTACTTGACAACTAGTGTCCTATTTCCAATTTCCCTTTCCTCACTGAAAGTCTGGAACAGGCACTGGCAGCTCAATTACAATCTCATCTTGCACCTAATGAGCTCTTTGAACTGACTCAGTTGGTGCTTACAGAGAGACACAGCGCCGAACAGCCCTTGTTAAAGTAGTTAATGATGACTTCTCACTCTGGGCACCTGGATATTCTTCTTCTTTTGGAAGAAGTGCAGCTTCTGATACTGTCAATCACAGCATCCTACTGGGTTATAGAGGACACTACCCAGAGATCACTGGTGCCTGTCTTTCTTGCTTGCTTAGGCTACTAGGAGCCAATTAATAAATCTTCACAGTTGTAAATCTGTTGCCATCCCACATACTCGGGGTGTTCCACAGAGGTCTCTGCTGGGACCTCATGCTATTGGTCATATGTGGTACAATGCCTCTTGGGGAGATTATTTACCCTAACGCACTTGGGTTTTACTGCTGTGCTGATGATACTTATTTACACCAGATCAGCGACTACCGCTACTGTCTGCGCTATAAAGACACCTGTCCGATATTGAGACTCAGGTACACAGATTTTGGTAGCAAAGAGATGAGATGAGGTGACACTCATAGGCTCCCAACACCAGTTTCACAAATGTGGCAACCTGAGCGCTGTTGAGCATGATGAGCCCAGCCCTTGAGGCAGTCAAAGACCTTGGAGTTACCTACCTGAAATTTGAAACACCTGCTAGAGAACGTCACAGAGGTACCTTTCTTCCTGCTCTGGAACACAGTTCAGGTAAGCCACAGCTGTAAGTGGGCAAGAGGGCCTTCTTCTTCGGGAATGTTGAATGTTGTTCCCAGCAATCTTTTAAATCCTTCTTTCCTCAAAGCTTTTAAAGTAATAAATACAGAATAAGTACCTACATTCACATAGCAATATCTCTGTAGATGAACTATCTCTGTAGTTAATGTTTTTTTTAATTATGAAATTGAAACAGAGGTAACAGTGAAGCAGGGGCTTAGCCTTAAAAAACAAAATAGGTTTAATTCTCAGTCGTGCCTTAATTATCTGATCCTGCATTCAGATTTTCCTTCAGAAGGACACCGCCGCTATCTCATTAGAGGACAGACCCTCAGCCCTCTAATATAATCAGCGGGAAAATTGTTTTCCAAAGTGGGTGGAAAAAAATTTGGCTCCTTATCAGTCCAATTTGCTGCTGCCATTAAAAAGTAATTATCTTCTCCTGAGATGTAAAAAAAATCATTTCTTTCTGTTCCACCAAAGGTTTCACTCTCTTTATAAAAGGCACACACACAAAAGTAGAATGTATTTCTGAATATAAAACACATAGTAATTTATGATGTTTCTATTCAAATACCTTTATGTCCTGTATAGTGCCCAGGACGTAGACCTAAAAATAAATTTCTGCAGATACACAAGGAAAATATTCTCTTTTGACATCCTTGTAAAAAACAAAGAGATTCCTCATGGTCACAATTATAAATTTGAGAAAATATTGTTTACAGACTGGCAGAGGTATGAGTTAATGATTGTGCTTGTTGCTGTGACAACATCATTTTAATTGATTGTTTAAGCAATATCCTGTGTTGCGTTTTTCCATTTCCCTCATGGTCTAGAAGAGCTTATGCCTCTGTTGTATGAGTGTCCACAAATAATGAACTATTTTCACTGCCTACTCCAGGTCTGCATATCCTCTTTATTGGACCACAGCTGGGTGGCACAGTGGCGTATTGCTGCCTTGCAGTGCTGGGGCCCTGGGTTCAATTCTGGTCCTGGGGTGCTGACTGTGTGGAGTTTGCATGTTCTGCCTGTGTTCCTGTGGGTTTACTGCACGTGCTCTGGTTTCCTCCTGCAGTTCTAAGACACACTTCATGTGCTGTAGTGTGTGAGTGTGTGTCCCATTGCTTTGATCCCTGTGACCCTGCATTGGATACAGCAGTAAGAAAATGGATGGATGTACAGTTTTAAACAGGGAGGCAACATTTAAATAGGTCAGATACAGAGTGGACACAGCTGCCTGCCTGATGATCAGTATTTGAAATGAGCAGCACACCCCTTCGATTTTCAGCATTGTCTCGTGTGTTATATCCAAATTGAAGGGAGTATCACTTCAATAAAACAAAGGGCTCTTTAATCTCCCACAGATCCCATCCTAATAATCATGCTTCCAGCCAATTGATTCTGGCTTGGTGCTGGAAAAAGAAGCTGACAGCCACACTTTCCGGGTTTGTGTGCTGCTGAGGTGGACATGGTGCAGGAGTCCTGCCCTTACAGTCTCAGAGTTTATTCTTTAACATTCTCAGAAAAGAAACAGCAATATTCTCCAGCAGCAACACCAAAACAAACGCCACGTAATTTGACAAGGCACCTGGTCCGAAACAAAGAACAGAATATAGCTTTTATTTCTACTACTTCCCTGTGACCTCCATCGTGCACTCAACGTTTTGGAATGCCTTTTGGAAACCTTACCTCTGGAGCAATTTGAAAAATCTCCCATGTAAATTTCTACATCATATAA